GGCACCTGATAGCTCAACATTCAGCCCATGTTCAGCACTTTCTTCTGCCCCTTTTCTTACCTTCATTTACTTCACTAGTATTTTTCAAGACTGTGTATCTTCTAAATGCATGCCCTTTAAAAAAAATATTAAGAACAGAGGCCATCTATGCATTACCTGTGGCCACAAGCATGCCATGTAACAGACCACAGGACCTCAGTGGCAGATAGTAACTGTTTTTATGTCACATGTCTGGAGTCTCTTGGCTCTGCTGGTCTTGGCTGACCTCACTCGCACGTTTAGGAGGTATAGGATGTATCTAGCTATGGCCTATCTAGGCTGGCCTCAGGTGGGGCAACTGGGAGGCCTTAGTCACCCCCCCGCCTGCCCAGGTGTCCGTCATTCTCTAGCTGGCCAGCCCAGGTGTGTCCTCCTAATGGTGGTGGCGGAGGCTTAAGGGAACAGGCAGAAACATGCAAATGCCTTCAAGGCCAGGCTCTGAACAAACACACCATTCTCTCTGCTCATTTTATTGGCTACTGAAAGTCAAGTCCAGCTGCAGGGAATGAGGAGATAGACCATACTGCAAAAGGACAGGGTAGAGGGTGTGGAAGGATTAACTTCATCAGTCTGCCGTAGGCTATAGGCCTCCATGTAACTTGCTGCTCCTTTATAATAACATAGGCCAATACTTTGCAAGAAAAGCATGCCTAATAAGCATAGGTTACGTAAAAGTAAATAAAGTTGCTGTGAGCGAGCTGTTCTAATCAAGATGGCACTGGCTGCGTGACGTAGACATTAGCAGGCGTTTTCTCTGTGAGAAAGTAAGTTTATGTTCTCCAAGTAAAATTTGAGTTTTTTCTGCATTGGGTGCAGGGATAGGTTGGTTGCCACTAAAAAAAAATCCCTTTTCTTGTCATCTTCATCATCATAGGTCCCACTGCCATTGTTTTGGGGGTGTTAGAATCTAAATGTCCAAGCCATGGGGAACAAAGAGAGAGGCAGCTGCTGTTATGCTGAAGTGTACATTCCCTGGGCTGTGCTCTATGTGTTGAGCACTAGGCGTGTTAGAGGAAGAAGCAGTCTCTGGCCATGTCTTTAACCTTTGTTCTTACTGTAACTCTTAGAGGAGTCCTCAGGAAGAGGGGGCCATAGGCCAGCAGCTGTAGCAGCAGCACCCCGGGGGTAGGTGAATACTATGATATAGGTTTGAGAAGCCCCAACACAAGTGACCCACCCCAGAGACCAGCAGTGTTGTTCCTCTTTTCAGGACTCTTCCATAGTTTTGAGGATGCTACAGCTTAGCCTCAACCTTGCTATAGACCCAGAGTCCTGCTCAGGAGCTTTTGGTGTCAGGACACAGACCCAGCACCCATGTCAACCACTTCACCTCAAAGTTACTTGACCTTACTTTTTGGTTCACCAAGACGCCCCGAGGGGGCCAGGGCCCCTTGTACCCTTGCCTCTGGTTATGCCAAAGCACATCTCAAGATGGGAATGACTACGTGTTCTCCTAAAACAGACCAGGTTTGTGCCAGGGCAAGGGTCAGAGCAAGCTCTGATTCAGATACCTCCTGTCTTTCTCTCTCAGGGGACCCAAAAGAACACAAGACCTGGGCATCCACATCCAACACAGAAACTTTGGGTGGCATTGATGAGGGTGCTGTGCTTTGAGTGTTTAACAAGGGCTATGGGTGGTTTGTATCTGAGTTCAGCAGAGCTGTTTGGGGTCCCCCAGCCCACTGTGTGGTTGTAGCTCTTCCATGGGGGCAGCCTGAGCAGTGGTGTTGCAGATGCCGCACAGCCAGCTAGTCTACCTGTGTTTCACTTGTGTGTCCTGTGTGCGTCCACACACATGCGCACACACACACACATACACACAGAGCCCCAGATCACTCCCAGTTTGCTGGCTGCAGGACTGATGCCAGTGGCTACCTCCCTCTGCCCCTTCTTTCCCCTTCTTGGAGACACACACAAGCGTTTCTGTTTGATTCACATAGAACCGTGAGAAACAGTCCCATATGTGAGGCCGTGTTTTTCACTCTATTCAGTCTTTGTATATTCAAATTCTCCTAGTTTCAGCTCTTGCTGTTCTGCCAGATTTTCATCGCATTGATGGCTTCTCTGAATTAATAAGTGTTTTGCAGCCACTGAAAAGTTTTTCTCCCCACAGCCCAGGGACTTAGCCATATTGATTTTTTTTTTTTTCTTTCCCTTTCTTCTCTGGCTACTTCTTAGATGTCATGTTTTGTAAAGTGTTAATAGAATTTTTCTCTTACCCTGCCACTTTATCTATTCAGGAGGTCTTTGTGGGTCCCGTTGAACAGCTGGACTACAGAGGAAAGAGTTCTATTCTTTGTGACATTGGTTGTCCCCAAAACATACACAGATCCTCCCTCACGCCCACCAGGGTGGAGTATTGGAGGCCCAGCAAAAAAATATCCAAACCTAACAAGGAGAGAAGGGAGCCAGTTACACCCTGGTGAAAGGGGGTTTTGAAAATGCATTTTTTAAAAATTCAAAATATTTATTTCCTAAGGGGATTTGAGTCTCAGTACCAAAACATAGCCAGCGCAGAAGGGAGGCTATTTTCCTTACTGTTAGGCATTTGCAGCTCAAAATAAGGATTTGGCAAACATCTCAGAAAATGTGGAGATGGGCACAAAACAGATGTCCTGTTTACCTGCTGGATTCCTGAGGGCCTGGCCGCCCCCACCCGCACCCTAGGCATTCAGATTCTTACTGTGTCCCAGGGTCTGAGCCTGCGACACCATATGCTCAAGTGTGACAGCTCTGTGTGCAAACACACCAGTTGATCTTATGGTGGTTTTGCCTGAGTGGAGCACGAATGGCTGCCATGTGTATAGCCTCAGCAGGTGCCTGGTGCCCAGGGGGTTGCAAGCCTGCTCTGACAAGGAACCCCTGTTTTAAGTGATCTCCAAACCAGTGTGGCCTGCTCCCGTCAGCTGTCACCCGGGAGAGAAAGGGCACATCCTGCTGGAGGAGGCACCAGACAAGGCCACTCTTGTCCCAGCAAGTGACTGCAGGAGAGGGGGTCAGAGGGCCAGCCCCCCAGGATCTTTTGTTCAGCCTCAGGGGATCCTCCCTCCAGAAGGGCTTGTGAAGCCAGACCGGTTCCTTCGAGGTTTGTGTCCTGCTTGCCTGTCCTGTTTCCCTTCTTACCTGGCCTCTGCTCTTCCCCCTTGTTATATCTGATAGCAGCTAGAAAAAGTAGATTTGATTTGTCTGGAGGCACCATTTTAAACCTTATTCTATTGCTTTACCCAAGGTCCTCTCCGTGGAAGCTCGTGGTCTGGGAGCAGTGAGGAATGAATAGCCTGTGATTCCTTTTCTCAGCTGGGTTAGCTTGGGCCCCCAGGTGCATCTGGGAGTCTTTGATCACAGTTCAGTGGTGCTTGGTTCCCCTGCCCCCATACACACAGACCCCAAATAGCTGTAGCGCAGCCCTCTGGACTAACAGTTTTGTCACCCGCAATCACTTGGGCATGGTTGTATTTTAGCTGCCAATCTTGGGCACAAAATGAACAAAGAGCACAAGCTACTTACTTGAGCAGACCAGATCCTTGCTCCAAGTGAGTGAGTGACTGGTTAGTACCAAGACCTTCGCTAAAGATGCGCTTTGTGAAATGAAGGGTAAATAAAAAGAGAGGATTCCAAAGCCAAACTGATTCATGAAGAATTAGTTTCTTGAGCTCTCTGGGGGAATCAAGTGTGGGTCCTGATATCTTACTGCTAGAAATTTCTAAAATGGTTGCACGATATGTGTGAAGAGAGGTAGAGGTTGGCTTTGATATTCTTTTTTCTTTACAGATTTTGGAAAGGTTCTTAAGTCAGTGTATTGGGTACTTAGGGCTGCCATGATAGAGCCCCACAGGTGGGCTGATTTAAACCACAGACATCTATTTTCTCATAATTTAGGAAGCTACAAGTCTGAGACAGTGTGGCAAGGTTGGTTTCTTCTGATTGACCTCTCCTTGTCTCGTAGTTGGCCATCTTTCCCCTGGTACACAGTACGTGGTCTTCCTTTTCTATATGTCTGTCCTATCTCGTCTTATAACTCCAGTCATAGTGAGTGGATCAGGCCCGCCCTAAGCATCTCCTTCAAACTTCATTACCTATCTCCAAATGCCTCATGTATACAATACCAGAGACTGGCACTGCAGCGCATGAATTTCAGGGGGCTGTAGTTCAGCCCATAAGAAACTGTTAAAATTCCAATTGTTTATCACTGGAAAGAATTTAAATATTCATCACAAAGAAAATAATTGAGTAAGCTATGGCTTCTTGTGCCATTAAACACTATACACTAGACATGCAGTTACCTGGGAATTGTTTGCAAATTGTGTAACATTGTTTACTTTAAAAATACAGAAAAAGGAAAAAAAAATACATGCAAAGTGGTTTAAGCCATTAAAATAGGCATTTGATGGGGGGGGGCAGGGAGATAGCTCAGTGGTCTAAAGTGCCTGATTAGGCAAGCTTAGGCAAGCATAGGGGCCGTGGTTCAATCCCTGGCAACACATGCTGTGCCAGCTCTGCCCCTGACCCCACCCAGGATGGGCTGAGCTGGTCACAAAAAAAGGCATTTTTTTTTTAAAATATTTATTTTATTGTATTTTATTTTTATGTTTTATTTTTTGCGGTACCAGGGATTGAAATCAGGATCTTGCGCTTTCCAGGCAAGCACTTATTCTACTGAGCTATCTCCCTGACCCTAATTTTTTTAACTTATTTATTTGTTTGTGAAAAAGCCATATTTTTAAAAGAAACACTAAGAGAAAATATGCCATTTGTTAACCATAGTTGTACTAAGTAGAAAGATAAACAATATTTTTGTTTCAAATATTCTTTAATAAGCAACTGTTATTTCCAGTAATGGAATCCATCTCCCCAACCCATATAAATACATAGAGATAGATGGATCGGTAGATTTTATGTGTATGTTAATGTTTCATATGTTTCGTGAAAGCTCCTAAAGTAGCCTCTATTCTGTTTTCCAGGTGGAAGATGCGATGCTGATGTTTGATAAAACCACCAACAGGCACAGAGGTAAGATGACTGCAGTGTAAGAGGGCTATCCCCTCACCCTCCGCTGGCCTTCGTTTCTTCTCACTTCTGCCCCACTGACAGAAGATCAGGGCAGAGCCCAGAGGGTAGAGGTGTTTAACCAACTGCTGGGAATCTGTATTAACCCAGAGCCACAGAGCACAAAGACTTCAGGTGCGGGACAGTCCTAGTTGTCTTCCTTAGCGGCATGGGGACCATCATGGACCTGTTCAGCCATTCCCAACGCACACATTCAGGTGCACCTTTCTGATCCTGGTTTATCATAGTCCCCTGCTAACCTCAGCACTAAGTGATCCTAGTAGAAATTATTCATAGCAATTACTCGATTGAGTTCTCAATTTGCATTGGAAGAGGTGGTGTAGAAACAGACTGTCAATCTAGAGAGAGAGAGAGAGAGAGAGAAAGAGGAACCTCCGTGTCTTAGGTTTGTTCACTGCATGTTTAGACTCGATGCCGTGTGGCACCTCGAGATGATTCGAGGACGTTTGCACTGATTTGTTGTCTCCCTTGTGCTGCTCCTGTGCCATCCAGGCAACAGGAAATGTTTGTTCAACTTGGGCTCCAAGAACCCTTAAGATGACGTGCAAAATGGTGTGTGAGTTTGGATTCATAGAGGATCCCTAACATCGGACAGACTGTCAGAAGGCTCGCTGGCCGCTGCCTCTCAAGAGAGCACATTAAAATTACTGCTTTGAACAGAAAAATTGTAAGAATCTAGAAAATCCTCCCCAGAGGTAGGAGAGCTGATCAGAGGCTATGATTTAGCCTTCTGTTTTCCTGTTATCTGGAAGCTCCAAGTTTCTGGGGTTCCTATTAACAGGGTATTAATGACCAGAGCTTCCAAAAAAGGGTGGCAAGAAAGAGTGTGGAGTGTTCTCAAGGGAGGGAGCCGAGAGTGAGCTGTGTTTCTTTGCCACTTGGATTGCATTTAGATGTTTCTTGTGTTGTTTACATTCCTGCTGTCACCTGTGATTAGAAGCAGTTACCCAGCGCTGACTGTCTATCTTTCCTGTTTGGAGAAGGCGGCTGCGTGAAAGGGAGGAAGGAAGGCATGGGGGTGGGGGTTACTGCTTCCCGGTTGGGAGAGGGGCAGGCCTGGCCTGAAGGTGCCTGCTGCTTGGCGCCCAGCATCCTCAGCTCGGGAAAATGAGAATCACATGGGTTGCTCTGGCATCCGATATTTGTGGACGGAAGAAATGAGCAAGAGTGGAGACTGGGGTGGAGGGAAAGACAAGGCGTGGAAGTAGGACTATGTGGCCGCGTGCTACGGGGCATGCTCAGAGAGGCTTCGGGACATCCTTGCTGGCCCTCCTGAGTCCAGGCTTATGGTGGGCACAGGGGAGAAGAGAACTGGCAGAGCCTAGAACCCTCTACACTTCTGCCTGTGGGCTCAGGACCAGCTAAATGACGGGAGGGGAGATCTTGGGAGGGGAGGATACAGTCTCTTAATCCAAAATGATTAAGAATTTCATGGTGACCACAGAACGTTAAAATTGAAAAAAGAACCTTGCACAGCCCCTGTGTAAACCACACAGCCAGGATGCCAGCTTGAGGGGTGGGCCAGGGAATAGCAGGCAGGGAGGAAGTGTGCTGAGAAGTTTCTAGAAGGACCTGGCATCTACTTCCCCTCACTTCCTGCTCCCCAGTCTTCTGTCTACATCAGTGGGAGGTTTGGCCCAGACATTTTCAACTGCTCAGAAGAGCCCAGGAGAAATTTCTCTGGAGCTGGGTCCTGAAGCTCAGATTGTGCTTGAATTCCAAGCACTTAGGGGAATGAAAATCATGCGTGTGTCATGCAGCCCCCCTGTGAGTGGCATTTGGAAGCAGGTGCTGAGCACAGGGAATAAAAGCCTCCCAGAACTACCTTTCCCCTCCTTCACCTCCCTGCCTGTAGTTACCTTCTCAAGAAGAAAGTACTTGGTAGCAGAGGTCGAGGATGCCTCTGGCTGGTGCTGTTTGCAGGTCTCTTCCTCCTCCTCCTCCTCCTCCTCCTCCTCCTCCTTTGTCTTTTTGAGACAGTCTCACTCTGCAGTTCAAGCTGGCCTTGAGCTCACTTTGCAGCCCAGACTGGTCTTGAACTCGCAACAACCTCCTGCCTCAGCCTCCCCAGTGCTGGGATTACAGGCATGAACATCATGCCCAGCTCAGATCTGCTCTTAAAAAGGTTCTAGCCATGAGCCTGGGTGCTGTCAGAACACAGCTGGGCCCTTCCTCAAACCCCACACTCAGCCCTGTTGGGCAACTGGGTGCTGATTTGCCCTCAGCTTGGGACCTCTAGCTCTGTACCCTCACAACCGGGCAGCTCCCACTCCAGGGAAGTTGCACAAACCGGGCCCACCTGACCTTCTGAGGCCGGGCTTATGTTGCATTCAGGCCATTAGGAGCCAGGGGTCAGGGCAGATGCTGCACCCCTGCTCCCCTCTTGCCCATCTCCCATTCCTGCACCCCATGCTGCCCGTTGGAACAGGGATGCCCTCAGGTATGGCTGCAAGGCTGTTGGCGTCTCTTGTCACAGAAGCAACAGAAAGGACCTCGCTTGCAGCAAATGAGAAAATCAAAGGGACAAGGAACTGTGAACTGTCTGAGGCTAGAGGTTCCTCATAGTGGGGAAAGCCTCCCAGAGCACCTACTTTCCCCAACTGTGCCTCAACATGCAGGCCTTCTTTGCTCTGCCTGGAACCTCCTCCCTAACCTAGCTGAACATCATGATGTCTTCATGTAAAAATATAGTGATAGGGACTAGGATTGAGGAGCTCCAGGACTCGAAGTATGGCTGTAACAGTCAAGAATGAATTTCTTTCATATTTTTTATAAACTTGAGAAGTGTGAGCAGTTGCAGCTGGTGGGGTTGCCTAGGAAGCAGCTGTGGGGGGCAAAGCCTCTTAACCTGCAAGAAGCTCACTAGGAAATGGTCTTGATTAGGGCGGGTGGTAGGTGAGGCCAGCCTGAGGGTCACCAGCCTGGGTAAGGGGAGTAGATGTCTTTGCTACCTACTTGGCTATCTTTGGGTGCAGCCCACCTGTGGCGTGGGTGTGGCCTGGGTGTCCTTCCACCAAGGACCTTCTTCCAGTAGCACTCTAGGGGCTGGGAAACATGTCCTTCATTCCTGAAGGGGATCTGGACATCTGTCACAGTTCCCAGCCTGGTTTCTGGTGTCCTGGCTTCATGGCTGTCAAGCAGGCCACAGTGAACTGTCTTGGTAGAAACATCCAGTGCTTCCCAGCACTTCCAGACTGAGAGCTGAGAGAGCTCAGTGCCTGCGCAGAGCACTCCATCTTGGTGGGGGACAGAGCTGCCCAGACTTGCGTGGGAGTTGATGCAGAGCTGGGACATGACTGCAGCTCATCACACCTGTAGACACAGTGTGAGGAGCCTGCATGGAAGGGCCAAGTGCTTCCTCATGCTTCCTTCATTTTCCCGCCAATCCTCAGGCCAAACCACAGCATGCGTCCACCTCCAGATGAGAAAACTAAGGCATGTGAAGCTCTGGGATGCTACCTGGCAGTGCCCAAGCCAGATGGGACTGAGCTGCTGTAGGAGCTGGGAACCGTCCTTGGCCTTGTTTGTCCTGCCATCACACAACCCTCTGAGATGATATGTGCCCGGGGGAGAGGAGGGCGCAGTGGCTTTCCAGTTTTCTTTGAGCCATTTCATTTGCTCTTTAAATAGTATTAGAGTTGAGCTGATCTTTGAGAGAAAGTTTATAATTTTCTTCTTGAACTCAGCATTGGGTGTTAGGGGAGGACCCGAGGGCAGAAGTGACGGGCGCTCTCTGTGTGATTTGCGGTATTGCTGGCAGGAGGCTGAGGACAGAAACTGGGAAGGTGAGCAGGTGGAGTTGCTGGTTTCGTACTTTATTGCCCCACAAGCTCAGCCCTGCTTGCAAAAGCGTACCATGAGCCTGTTGGTTGCTACAGTGCATTCTACGCTCACCTCCTGCTGGAAGAAGGGAGCCCCCCGGCGTGAAGATCACCCCAGGGAGCCAAACCTCAGCGGTCCCTCCCCTTGACCCCAGCCCTGACTTCCTGAACCCTGCACTGCTGGGTCCCTCCAGAGGAGAGCTGGCTACTCAGGAGCCTCGTGGGAAAAGAGCAGGGGGTCTCTGAAGCTTCGCCCATCGCCTGTGGAGGGTCGGTCGGTTTCTGGCTGCGGCCATCCCTGCGGCTGCCATTACCCAGCAGGCCTGTTTGCTGTGGAACATTGCCAGAGGCAAAGGAACAGGACACACGGAGAGAAAAAGAAAGATTAGTGTGATGGATGACTTCCCCCAACAGTTAGCAGTCACTTGTTAAGCGTGGCTTCGGAGAGGAGTAAGCGCTGCAGACACTACCATGCCTCCCCCATACCAGCCAGGCTGGCCCTTGGACAGAGGAGGCCATTCTCAGCCTGGCTTAGCCTTATCCCCGCAGCTGGAGAGGTGCGGGGCAGACAGGGCCAGCTGCAGGGAGGAGGAAATTTCCACAGACTTCCCTCAGGGCGGTGGCACTGAGAGCCTGGCTTCTCCCTGGAAGCTTTCTCAGAGTCTCTGACCCAAAAGCAGTTGGCCCCAGTCTAAGGTCTCCACCATTTGCATAATCAGTTTATTTATTAAAATGGTGCCAGTAAGATGTAACTGAAGCTGGGATAGAAGATAATGCTTTTCTAAAGAGAAAAAACAGCCCGTAATGTCTTGAATACCTGCCAGACACTCACTTTGGAAATGGACCTCTGAAATCCAGATTGACTCTTTCGTGTGTGCTGTATAAAGATGATTAAGAATCATGCTGTAATTATTTGTTTATTGGTGCCTATTTCTCAAAAAATGAGGGAGGCATTTAGAGTTTCACACACAGATATATTAAATTAAAAAAAAATTAAAGCATTGCTTCATCTGTAAGTATGAGATGGCAAAGATGATATACGTATAGTTTTGTTTTCTTGATGAGATCCTAGCACTCTGATTTTATTTACCTGGGGACGAAGGCTGAGATTTACAAGCTGTA